CCGCAGCCGGTTCCGCACTTTGCTGGTGTCGTTCTCCGGGCCCAGGCTGCCGGGCGCCGAGCCGGGGGCTGTGGGGAACAGGGAGAGCGTTCGGGGCCCAGGCTCCGGGAGCAGATCGCAGGAGGGATCGGGGGGCAGCCCGGCGACATGGGGCGCTGAACCTGTCGTTCTCCGGGCCCAGGCTGCCGGGCGCCGAGCCGGGGGCTGTGGGGAACAGGGAGAGCGTTCGGGGCCCAGGCTCCGGGAGCAGATCGCAGGAGGGATCGGGGGGCAGCCCGGCGACATGGGGCGCTGAACCCCGAAAATGGGGGTGCACCCCTGCCCAGCCTGCGGACCCCCCTGGCCTGGCAGGCAGAGCCCCCCAGCAAGTGCCATCCTTCCGCACCGCCACAGCCGCCGCGAGGGGGGGAGGGGGAAGAGAGCCTCGCCGGCGTTCCCTTAGCGCCCCCCAGCTCGCAGGCCGATGTGCACAGCCGCAAGGGGACACTGCCAGCCTTAGGTCTGCCCAGCCCCCGGCCCAGAGGTGGGGCCAGACAGCTGCCCAGGCAGGCTGCCCTTCCGGGGGCCCAGGCTCAGAGTCCAGGCACCTTGTGGGCTGCCTCCCAGCACAGAACGCGGCCCGGCGCCGGCGCTGAGCCCCCCTTTTCCACAGCGGCTCCACTCACCTGGGCCCCTCTTCTCCTCCTCTTTCTCCTTGTAGCTTCCCAGCCGGCCCTTGGCTCCAGACTCCGCAGCGTTCCCGTTCTCCTCGTGGGGAGGCAAGTCTGTGGTCTGAGGGGGACACGGCCGGAGATGGCTTTTGCCCCCACCCCGGCCCCAGACAGCAGCGGAGAGGCAGGGACAGGCTTTTCATTCTGTGTACAGCGCCTGGCGCGCCGGGGCTGCTGCAGGGTGTAGAATGCAACAGCAGCAGGAACCAACCTGAACTGTTACTCAGAAGGCCAGTGGTTCTGAGGGCTGGGGTAAGAGCCCACGTCCCGCCACGTGGCGCTGGGGGAGGGGGCGGGTCTAGCAGCCAAAGGGCCGTAAATCTGGCAGGGACAGGCTTTTCATTCTGTGTACAGCGCCTGGCGCGCCGGGGCTGCTGCAGGGTGTAGAATGCAACAGCAGCAGGAACCAACCTGAACTGTTACTCAGAAGGCCAGTGGTTCTGAGGGCTGGGGTAAGAGCCCACGTCCCGCCACGTGGCGCTGGGGGAGGGGGCGGGTCTAGCAGCCAAAGGGCCGTAAATCTGGCAGGAAAGCCAGCCCTTGCCGGGCGAGGCAAGATCCTAAAGACGAGAGCGGAGATGGCTCCAGGAGGGGACGGGGCTGAGCAGAGCCAGCTGCCTAGAGGGGCGGAGGCATCTAGCCGGATCTGTCCCCTCGTGGGGGCTGGACCACGTAAAGGGCCCCCAGAACAAAGGGGTGTGATCCTGAGCGCTAACCCCAGGGGCTGCTGTTGGTTGGCCCGGAGGCCCTGGGCTGGGGCCAGTGGGGGCCGGGACTAGCGCCCGCGAAAGGCCGAGACGTGCCCGCTCACCAGCTGGCCGATGCTGTCGGCGATCGCTTTCTGCCACGTGGCCACGATGGGCTCCGAGTCGTGCTGGATCAGGAACTCGGAGCCGTCGCGAGTCTTCAGCTGAAAGCGGCGGCACAGGCGTTACCCGGGGGACGGGGACAGGCGGGGCAGCTCCCAGCGCATGGGCAGCCCAGAGGGGCCACGCGGGAACAAGGGCCGTGTCCTTCCGTGGCCGAGCAGGGGTCGGGGGGCGCGACAAGT